GTGAGAAGACAAATTGTAAAGTAGATATTTGTAATCTTTTACCACTTTGGGGTTGCTTTTTTTCCCAGAATTCATCAGAACTTTGAATTTTTTTTTTTAAATGGGCTGTTTTTAATGCAGGGGCTTTTCTTCCCTAGAAACCCAATTCTAAGCAAAAAAAGAAAAAAAACACAAAAAACAAAAAACCCCTACAAAAAATTTTTAAAAAAGGCAGCAAAGGGTAGTTTTCATCTGGTGTCTTTTATTTAAGTTTTTTAAGTTAAGAAAAGCTGGTGACATATTTATACGTTTTTGTGCAAAAATAAATGAATGGCAATAGATTTTAAAAAATCTTATTATGTACTTCTGTGTGAAAAAGTCTGTATAATATTTCCCTTAAATATGCATTATTTTACTTGTGAGTTTTTTACTGAATTAATCTGAAATGTACAAGCCCTGGATTTGCTACAGAGTGAGAAGTTATTTTATTATTTTTTTTTTTTTTAATTTTGGAAATTCTGCAGAAATCAGAACTTTTACCATGGTTTGAACTCCGAAGGGGAAATGGGGCGGGGCGAGGGGGTGGGGTTGTCCTGCATGCTCGTATGTATATTTCAGAGCCTTTTTTAAATGTAAAAGCTGTACATTTCTGGGAAGTTCTGAATTCCTTTTGTTTCCTTTTTTCCTTCAAGCATTTTGCAGTGAGCTTCTTTTATATATAGCAAACAATTTGAAAGAATACAAAAATATGTGAAGTTCATTTAAAAAAACTACAGTATAGCGCTGGTACAGTACACTAAAAGACTTTGATAAAAAGAAACAATACTAAAAGGCCTCCATTTTAAATGTCATTCATATATACCTTGTGAATGAGAGCTATATACTTTTACACACTTTTTTAGAGGAATAAATTATTGAATTACTGAATCTTTGAGTGGCTTTTTTCCCCTTTCTGGTCCTGCCTTTGTAATAAAAATTATCACACCTATGCATTACGGGTTGAACAATCCTTGACTAGGAGCCAGGCCCTCCCTCCAGAGTGAATTGGACATAGAATTTTCCTGCCCTAATTACCCCCAACAGATAGCTGTTCTAGATATAGTATTGTCATGCTCCAAGGTACAAGTGCATGCCTCGGTTAGTTCTAGAGTACACGCATGCTCACACACAAACACCATTGAATTAGGAGCCTTGGTGTTTAGTTCTTTAACTGTTGTGAGTGGTTCACATTGAACGGCGTCTCCCAGGTCTAAGACTGTGGTCAGTCCTAGAACAAATTACAAATCTGTTATTCCTTTCTCCTCACTGTCCTGGCCAGTTACTTTCTGACGTTCCTTAGAAATAACAGCTACATCTCCCTTTGCTGATTCTCAGGCTGGCGACAGTCATCTGCCATCTAACACACCACGCACGAGCACGGTGCCCATGGGCCTCTGGCACCCCCTGCGTCATTCTCTTCTTGAGTCCATCCAGTAGGAAAAACCATACACTCTTGGGGCAGAATCTGGCAGAGACAGTAAACTCCAGGACTTGGTAGAGCTTACAGTCAATGATGGAATAAGACCTTTTAATCTTCCTCCGTCTATTTAGAAATATATATTATTCTGAATCTAAGCTGGTCTGACTGGAGATAAAACTGTAGCAACTGCTCAGCCTGAGTTACTTCATCTGCAAACACAAGGATGAAGGCATTTCCCTGGGAAACACTTTGCAAACTCAAAAGCTGTGTCCATTTCTTATAGCTGTCCTGTTGGAGGAGGCTGAGAAAGGGAGGCATCTTTTCAGTTTTGAGAGAATACTGGTCTCTGGCTTGTCCGAGCATCGCTGCCTTGTATGTACAGCCCCAGCACTGTCTGTACTGCCNCCATTTTCCAGTAAGTATTGATAAGTTAGTTCCTAGTCATCTGTGGAGAGAATCATGCAGATTTCAAAAGTTCTTCCAAGAGACTACCATATCCTGGTTATTAACAAAAAAAGGAAAAATGTAATAACTGATATGATTTTGTAAAAGTATTTTTCTTGAAATAATCTAACGTTTAAAACATTATATTAAAAAAAAAGTGGTGTGGTGGGAATGTGAAGGCAGAGAAATAACTTGTAAATGGATAATTTTGTTCTCTGTGCCACCCATTGGGGCGGGGGGGTGACTTTCGCAATGTATAGGTTAAAAAAATCTGATATATCAAAACCATTTGTATCTAATGTGTACAGTGTAAAATTGACTTTAAAAATATTGCAGTGCTATTTTTTCTTAATCAGAAAGGAAAAATTCTCAAGGCCTTTTGAAGAGCATAAGATGATGAAGATTGTAAACTTGTATAAAATTATCTTGGTGAGAAGACAAATTGTAAAGTAGATATTTGTAATCTTTTACCACTTTGGGGTTGCTTTTTTTCCCAGAATTCATCAGAACTTTGAATTTTTTTTCATTCGCGAGGACCAGGTACAGTAGCTGAAACCCAACTCAGACCCACCATAGGATTCTTTGACTCCATACCTCTGTTCTAGAAGCCGGAAAAGGAGTGAACACAAATTGGGGAGACCATGCCGAGAAAGTCCTATATTCAAAATCCCCCAGCAGTAGGTCTTGCTAAGAACAAACTGGGTAAACATTATGCCATGTTCCGTATTAACAGTGGCCAGCGTTTCATGAAGGATAACATTTTTATACAGAAGGCAGTCAATCAAACTCAACCCAGAGCAATGGAGGCAAGTACCTTCATTAGTTTTCTATAGTCACAGTGGAAATATATTTTCTAGTGAATTCTTATTGGACGCCAGGTCTCTCCTCTCATTAGATCAAAAGGGACTCATGTACATATTACAATCAAACGTGTTTGCTCATAAAATCAGTTATAAATATGGTGAATTTTTTCTGGACCATAGGAACATTATTTCAAAGAAATATTACAACTTAACCATTAAATTAGTACTTGAAGTTGAGCCTTCGTGGTGGGACTTTTTTTT